ACTTTAACAGCAGTGAGGGTAGCAAGCACAATGGTATATTACAGCACAAATAGGCTGGAGGGGTGGCTTTTTAATCTTTAACCTAAACTGAATCTCCTGGCTAAAAGGGATGAGCTGGGTTACCCATAGGGATGGAGGTTCTTTCTAAAACCATTTCATTAATCTGTGAAAAAGACTTTGTTGAATGCTTGTAACTCTAAGGCTACATAATTATCTCCCAGTTATCTAACATCTCCCCTAAAATCCCTAATGATTGGAGAAGGTCTCCCAAACATCATCTCATATGGGGAATAACCTGAGAGTCCAGGTGTGCATCTGACTCTGAGCAGGGCCAAAAATAACATGTCTGGCCACTCTGCCCCTATTTCTCAGCAATACTAGCCAAGATGGTTTTAAGGGTTCAATTCATGCGTTCAGTTTTCCCTGAACTCTTGAGACCTACAGGTTTTGTGTAAATTCCATTTAGTCTTTAGCCTATCAGAGAGTTCTTGGACAGCTTCAGGGGAGTTTTTGAAGCCCTAAGGAACTCTTTTCCATGTTAACTGTATCAAAAGCAGTATCGAAAGCAGCTGGGTTGGGGAGGGGTGGGGGCTAGCAGAAGGCAGAAGAAGGGATCTTTAAGATCCAGGCAGGTGAACCAGGTTGCTCATAGCGGGAGCAGACTCAGCAGGGTGTAGGGGTTTGAAACTACTGGATGCAGAGTACTGTGGCATTGTTGATTGCCCAGAGGTCCTGTACCAGTCAGTATCCATTTCTACCTGGCTTTTTTCTGTACCAGGGATTGAACTCAGGACCTTGCACTTGTGAGACAGGCACGGTGCTACTGAGCTAAATCCCCAGCCCCATGTGTGACCTGCTTTTAATTGGGGCACTTGTTTTTCCAATGTCCAATCTCTTTGCAATGTGCACATTGGTCCGGATGCAAGGGGATCTGTAGTCAGTTTCCCCCCTTGCATGGTAGTCCTGGTTTTTGAGATAAGATCTGGTCTCCCAAGTGGACCAGGCTACGAAGGCAGCATTGACCATCAGGTGAATTTCAGGAACCTCAGGATGAAGGGGGTGAAAAGGCAAAACACCTCACAGAGTCACTCATCAAAGTCACCAGATGACTCATCTGGTTTTTGTTTGTCTTTTTGTTCGTTTGTTTGGGGGTTTTTTGGTACTGGGGATGAAACTCGGGTCCTCGAGCTTGCGAGGCAGGCTTCAGAACCACTGAGCTAACTCCCCGGCCCCTCATCTGGTTTTTGAGTCACTGACGACATTTTTTTTTTTTTTTGTACCAGGGATCAAACTTGGGACCTTGCGCTTTCAAGGCAGGTGCTGTTCTGCTGAGCTAAATCCCCCGCCCCACTGAGGCCATTTTTGACATATTTGTTGGCTTTTTGGCCCCAGCAAGGACCCCCTTGGGGATAGCCTCTCAAAATTGTGTGAGAGGGGCTTTCTGGCAGGGGTGTGAGAGTCCCACGCTGGCTTGGTGTCGGGAGCCGCAGCCTTCTCCCCTTCTACAGGGCCCATGGATTCCTCAGGGGCCTGACCTGTAGATATTTTCTGGCCTTGGTGAAAATTCTATGCCTCTCCCCAGTGTTGAGGAGGGTGAAGGAGACACTAGGGTAGCATCGATCTCTCAAGCACACCCCTGCATGGCTCCCAGCCTGCTCCCAGCCCTGCTGCAGTTGGGAGGGCACATAGCTGACAAGGACAACATCTCTGGAGCCTCCAGACTCCAGAAGGATGGGATCTACCCAGAAATACTTGAGCATATCAAAAATGGACTGGAACTCCAGGTTCTGGACCTGGCACTGACCCTCCTTGTTCAGTGACAAGTGCAGGTACTTGGCCTTGCCCTGGAAATTGAAAGTGAGGGCATATTCGTCCTGCTACATTTCACTCTAACGAACCAGGAAGGCACCATGGGAGCTGATGCCTCCTTCCAGCACTAACTGGGAGCCCTTGAGTCGTGAGAACATCCCATGGAACCAAGGGTATCCTGAGAGGGGCAGTCCCCTTCCCCTTCCCCCAAATCCTGGAACATGAATGACCCTGTGGCTCTTTCCAAAGCATCCAGGGGAGTGTAGGGGTTTGGGAAAGGATGAACTGTCCCTGCCAGGGGGCCCTCCTCAATGGGAATCCAGGGGGGGAGCTCTGGAGGAAGTGGTTCCATAGAGTCAAAATGGGAGACTGCAATGGAGGCAAAACTGGGGGAGATGGATGCAGAGGGCCAGTCTGATAGGCCCCCGTGTGCCCCCTGTGAGAGGCATCGTTGATGATAGAACCTCCAGAATAAGGCAGAGTGCATTGTTTCCAGCTCAGAAAATCAGTTGTGGTAAAGGACTGGTAGTAGAGAGTGGCAGGACCAGGCTGGACGAGGCCATCATCCAGGATGCAGGAGAGAGGGAAGGTCTCACAGACAGGCAGCTCAATAGCTGGGCTTTGAGCCGAATGCAGATACCTGGCAAGGGGTGTCTCAGGGCAAGCAATCGCTTCACCATGTGGAATGCTGGAGGGACTAGAGGCTGGAGCTAGAAGAGGCAGATAAGGAGGGCTGGCCAGAGATGGAGATGGGCCTATCAGAGGATTTTGAAGAGGGTTGGCCACTTGAGCAGGTGGCAGGTCTGGGTTTTTGTTTTTGTTTTTTTTTTTTGTACCAGGGATCGAACTCAGGACCCTGAGCTTTCGAGGCAGGTGGTGGAACCACTGAGCTAAATCCCCGGCCCCTGGGCGGCAGGTCTGAAGATGGGCTGCCAGATGAGACTGGTGGTAGGGATTTTGAAAGTGGCGGGCTCTCCAGAAGAGTTGGAGCCAGTGGAATAGGTGCAGATGGGAGCTCTAGAGCATAATGCAGTGGCAGGGGATTTCCTTCTAGCGGGCCCTGATGAATTGGCCTTTCTGGGGTCTTAGAGAGGTGGCTACTACTTTGGGCTACAAAAACCTGAGTGTCCCTTTCTATCAACGCAGAATTGGACCCGGGGGGTAGGGTCTGATCAATCTCTAGCCAAGAATCAACATAGGGGACCTGATCAGGATGGCCTGGTTTGTCAGTAACAACTCTCCAGACTGCATGCACAGTCTGAACATCCAGAATTCCTTCAGGGGGCCACCCTACATTAAACTGGGGCCAATCTATTTCACAGAGAATCCCCAACATTTTGGGCTTCAGTCTAGCTCCATATTCCTCACTAAATCCCTTCTTGAAATTTTTAACCATGCAGTCCAGGACTGTGAGTTTACTGTGATTATTACCCATGGTGTATGTAGTGCCCTTAAAAGGTGGCTCAACAAAAGATGGGAGCCTCCCAAAGGAGGTGTCTGCCTGGCTGTGTCCCTTGAGGGAGTTTAGGAGCATTTTGGCCAAGGTGCATAGGTAATCCAAATGGCACAGCTCTGGGGCACAGCTGTGTGTTACAGCTCTGGGTTTTGACTGTCTCAATTTGGAGACTCGAGAATCCAATGGTCACTCGAATAGGTGGAGAATAAAACCTTTATTACGCCAGCAGACTCAGTAGAGTTCATACTCTGGGAGCTTGACTAGAAACAGGAGCCTCCTTATATGGGGGTGGTTTACTGGGTAGGTGCGCATGCTCACTGAAGCAGGGGGGAGGAGCTAACAGAACATTCCTAGAGGGGCGGAGCTAAGTGAACATTCAAAACAGTTGCAAAACTTTTTTTTTTACAAAACATTTTAATACATTGGGCAGATGCTGCTGCCCAGCAGCACAAACTGTTACATTTCTGGAACAAGACATTCTGTGGAAAAAAAGCTGTGGAGGCAAGGCAAGGGCCTGTCTTATTGTATAGCATTGTTCTTTCACCTAACTTGTAATCCTATTGGTTGATCATAGTTTTGTCCCACACTGTACCCACCTTGAGATTTTGTACCCATCTTGTGATTTTGTGCCCACCGCATGATTTTGTTCTATAAAGCTTCTTCTGTAAAGTGGGCTCCAGGTCCCCTCTTGTCTCTCTCAGGAACTTTCCCTTTCAATAAATATTTCCTACTCTTAACTTCCTTCATTCCTTGGAACTCGTTCTTTGATTTTGGAAACATGATCTTGGAGTATCGGGCATCCAGCAGGTTGGGGGTCACATTATTTCCCCTCTATCATTTGGAGCTCACCTTGGGAGGACTTTTTCTTCTTGGAATTTTAGTCATCTACTCTGTGTTTCCACTGCTCTCCATTCTTTTAAAACTAAAATGAACTCCCTCATGTCTGTTTTTTTCCAACTTTTGCAATGGGGCAGGGAGTGGCCTGCAGAGACTTATTACAAACTACCCTGAAGCAGAAGTTCTTCAGTTCTGTTTTTACCATTTCCAGCAGACATATTATTTCACTTAGCATTTTCATTTACTCACATGCCAACTTTTATTTCCTCTTTTTATTTATTTGGTAACTGGGTCTGAACCCAAGGACCTCAGGCATGCTAAACCCATGCTCTACCACTGAACTATAACTTCACCCCCTGATTTTTGTTGTTGTTGTTGTTTTGACAGTCTTACTTTGTAGGCTGGTCTCAAAACTCAATAGGATCCTCCTGCCTCAGCCTCCTCAGTGCTGGGATTACAGGCATGTGCTACCACACCCGGCTCCCAATTTCCTCTTTTAAAACAAATTATAGGGCTATCTTTTCTCTCTTTAAAGTAAAACCACTTCCTGATTTTCTCAAGGGATGGCCATTTTACTTCCTGGTTCCTTTTCAAAATGTTTGTAATGTGTGGTGTTGGGAATGAAACCCAAGGCCTTAAGAATGCTGGACAAGTACTCTACCACCTAGACCCACAAGCACCAATCTATACACCAAGCCTACTTCATGGTCCTCCCCCACCCCGTTTAGTTTTTTGAGATAGAGTTCCACTATGTAAACCAGACTGGCCTTGAATTTGTAATCCTGCTTCAGCCTCCCAAGTATTGGGATTACAGGCGTGAACCACTGTGCCTAATACTTTGTGGATCTTATTGCTTGTGTTCTTACATTTTAAGTCTGTTGTGGTTCTTGTTTTGCAGTTCGGCCCCATACTACTGTATCTTCTTTTTTTTTTTTTTTTTTGGTGTGGGGTGGGGATCAAACTTAGGTCCTTGTGCTTGCGCAGCATGCGGCAAAACCACTGAGCTAAATCCCCGGCCCCTACTGTATCTTCTTGACCTTTGCTATTTCTGCTGGGAATGTTTCCAAGGGACTTAGGGGTGGGGGGCAAGGGCACCCCACCTGCCACTCCAGTGCCCAGGAAGCATATTGAGAGATGAACTCCTTGGAGAAGTAGTTTTCCCCTCTTGAGCCACATCTGTCCCCTTTGAGTGAACCTTAGCCCTTCCTTCTCCTCTCCTTTTCTCCCCCAATTTTTTTTTCTCCTCCCAAATTTTATGTGACTTGTATGCATCCATGGTGTCAGCCACTCTCTGACACTTACGATCCAATGACTTTCACACTTCCATTTGGGCTTCCAGACCAATCTACCCACTTTTTATTTTTCAGGCCCCTCCAATGTACATCTCTAAATGCTAAATCCTCCCCTAAATCATCTAAATCCTCCCCACAGGGTTCCTCCTCCTTGGGCTATCTTCTCATGGAACAGTGCCACCATCTGGCCAAAGCCTGTACATCATCTTGAGCTCAGCCTCTGCTCAGGCCCACACCTCCAACTACTACCAAATCAGCTTGGCCTGGCCCTCCCTCCCCACTCCCACCACTGCCCAGGTCCTGCCTGCTCCTAAGACCTGGCCTCCAGAGGAGTGTGATGCCAAGACCATGAGATGGGCACAAGTGGTTTTATTGTTTCTGGCCAAAGAAGGACAGCCCGGCAGGAACAGGGACCAGAACAGACCTTGTGGCAGCAGGGCTGCTGGTGGCTAGAGCCCAGGACTGTGGAGTGCTGTCCCTCGGTGTGAGCCAGAGCTGCAGAGGAGGTACATTTCAGCCTGCAGATGCCACAGGCTGGCACAGGAGCCCCAGCCTCACCGATGCCGCTTCCGGATACTCTGCAGCTCCTGGGAGATGGTGCTGAAGCTGGGCCGCTGCCCAGGCTCGTAGGCCCAGCACTGCTCCATGAGCCGGAACACGGCATCAGGGCACAGCTCCGGGCAGGGCAGGCGACCCCCTGGGAGGACAGGCACAACACTGGGCATGAGGAGGGGTCCCCTGGGGCCAGCTGTGAGCAACAGGAGCTGCTCATGAAGTGCTGTCCCTAAGGAGCCACTCTTGTTTACACCACAGATCCCAGGACAGAAGCCCTGGTTCTATTCTCCACCTCCCCATCTGCTGGTTGGATGACTCTGCAAGGCTCAGTGTTTCCATCTGCAAAAGGGACATGTTGATCCCACCTTACATAGGAAAGAGCAAATGAGCTGATGAATTTGGCGTAGATAAGTGCTCTACTCAGGGGGAGCTATAGGATGATTCTCTTTTTGTTGTTTTTTGTGGTCCTGGGGATTGAACCCAGGGCCTTCATACTGAGGTTTTTAAATTTTTCTCATGTCCTTTTTTTATTTTTTTGAGACAGGGTCTCACTAAAGTTGTGCAAACTGGGCTCAAACTTGCAATCCTGCTGCCTCAGCCCTTCAGAGTGCACCACTATGTCTGGCTTAGAGGATTTCTTACCTGGCTCCAGTAGGAAGGGTAGGAAGCCAAAGGAGAAGGAAGCATGGGGGGGTGGGCTGTAGCCTGGGCTGCTGACATGCGCAGGTCCCTTACCCTTCTCCACAAACTCCCTTGTCTGCTGGTTGCTGAGGTTGGGGTAGGGCGAGGACCCCAGGCTGAAGGTCTCCCAAAGCAAGATGCCAAAGCTCCACACGTCACTCTCAGAGGAGTAGCGGCCTGTGAAGGTGGTGAGACAGGGTGAAGGAGCTGTCGCCATCACCATGCCCAGCCTCCCGAGTGCAGCACAGGCTAGATGAGGACTGGGTACCATAGTTAAGGGCCTCAGGAGCAGTCCACTTCACAGGTACTTGTCTGAGGCCCCCTGAGGCTGCGTAGATCCCATCTGCCTCCTCCCGGGACATCCCAAAGTCACTGATCTTCAGGACATTCTTCTCTGTCACAAGACAGTTTCGAGCAGCCAGGTCCCTGGGTGGAGCAGAGCATGGATCTCCTTTGGCTAATGTCACCTGCCTGGGCTGGGCAGCGCACTCCAGATAAAGCCAGGAATGAAGGTGCCGCTTGCCTGGGCACCCTGGTGTGTGGGGAGTGGAGATGATGCCCGATGCCAGGGCCAAGGCTTGCTCACCGGTGGATGCAACACTTGCTCTCCAAGTACTCCATGCCGGCAGCTGCATCCCCCACCATCTGCAGCAGTGTCTTCACACGCAGGCGGGCTCCCTCGGTCCGCAGGAAGGTCAGAAAGTCGCCCCCTGAAGTGCAGCAGCCTTGAGCCTTCTGGGCTCGGGGGCACCTGGCTGGCTGAGTTCCCACCCTGGGATGGGAATTCTTCTCACCTTGCACCAGCTCCATGACAATGTAGATGGGCTGCTTCTGGGTGCAGACACCGATGAGCCGCACAATGTTGGGGTGGCTGTACTGCTTCAGGATCCTGGGGGGGTGCCGCTGCTCAGCTCCCCACACTCCTGCCCCTGCCTCCCTCCAGGAGCCCCAAGAAGGACACGAGAAAGGCCTCAGAGAGTCAGGGGACAACAGCCTAGCCTCAGAGGTCATCAGCCCGGATGTGTGGTGAAGCCCTGACAGCCTTGGCTCTATGGGGACAGAGGACTTACTACCAGGAGTGAGGGGGCTGGGAGGGTTCAACAGTACCACCGAAAGCAAGCACTTCATGCTGGGCCACATGCAACAGAACACTTCTGAATGGAACCTCTGGTCGTTATTCATTTGTCACCCACCTGGCTTCTTGTAGAAACTTGGCCTTGAGGTCAGGAGGCAGTGTCTCCCGACAAGACTTCACTGCCACCAGTGTGTTGTCCGCTCGAAGGCGCCCGCTGAACACTTCACCAAAGTTGCCCTGAAATGGTCTTGGGCTCCTACCAGAGCTCCCGGTGCCTTAGTCCTTTCTGTGCTTAGGGGACAGTCGCGGGTGCCCAGCTGTCTGTGTTCAGCCCCTGAGCTCAGACTTACTCCCCTGGCTCTCTAGGACTTTGCCCTGGTGGGCAGAAAAGTCACCTGTGACAGGCTACATCCCCAGAGAGAAGTGTCAAGGAAGAGCCCAAACCTGCTTTCCTTCACATTTGAAAAGCATTCTGAGACTTAGGAAAGCAACTTCCTTCCTAGGCAGGCGGTTTACAGCTCACAGTAGGGCAGGAGCTGTGGTGCTGGTGAGGAGTTTGGGGCAGGTATTCCATTCCCAGGGGTCAGCTTGTGGCAGTGGCTGGGCAGGGACAAGGGTCTAGGAGGGAACCGCTGGAGCCCAGATGGGTCTCTGCAGGCGGGACCTCAGGTATGGCCTGGAGAAAGTGGCAGGGAGAGGAAAGATTTGCACTCACCCGCCCAATCTGTTCACCCAACACCAGGTCCTCGTGGTTGAGCACCCACTTGTCCTGGGGAATAAGAGTCAGGGCATCACAGCAAGTGCAGAGCAGGGCCAGACCTCTTCCCACCGAGAGGTGCCATGCCACTCTTTTCTTGGAGCCTCCGTGTGAGGCTGTGTCTGACGGGGTTGGGCCAGATCAGGATCACACTCCAGTGACACTGGGGACCAGGCAGGTACCCCACCACCCAGAAGTGCAGTCACACTCGGCATGTGGATTTCAGATAACATGAGCCTTTACTGCTCCAGTCAGGGGGGGCCCGACCCACAGTCCCCAATCCCTGAGGCCACAGGCTCACCTTGGGCACTGCCCTATACAGGACAACTCCACTCTTCTTGGTGAGGGGCTGCTGGGAGCAGAGCAGGTGGTCGATGAGCAAGGGGATGCTGGGAAAGCCATCACCCTCCAGGCGGTACAGATTCTGCAGGGAGGGGGCCTGGGGTCAGCACCCTCCTTGCTGAGGGGAGGACAGAGAGAGGGCAGGGAGCAGGGACAAGGCAGAGAGAGCCACAGAACAGGCACAAGCATGTGACACGTGACAATCAATCAGCCCACCCTTTCCTAGGGGAGGACACAGGCTCAGTCTTTCTCTTGTTGCAGGGATCCAGGTGGCCTCTGGCTTCATCCAGCTGGGGTAGGGGGGCATCTAAGATGTGCCAGCCACTCCCTGCCCTCTCAAGGTCATCAGTCTTGAGGTCACACCCTGGGGTAGGGGAAGGGCAGGCCCGGGCCCACTCACGTCGGAGGACTGGATGATGAAGTGGCGTGGCAGGCCATCCCACAGCACCGACAGCACGTACTCCTGCTTGCCCTGGCTCTCCCGCACCAGGAAGTCCCCGGAGTTCGTGAGCAGCTCTGCCACCTCCGCCCGTGGGATGGCCCCGTGGTACCACAGCTGCTCGTGCAGGGGCTTCTGCACCTCAGGAACCAGTTGCAGCGGTGGGGGGAGCTGGACATGGGGTGAGGGGACTGTTTAGAGTCACTCAGGGAGCCAACTGGGCCTTGGGTCTCTCTCTGTCCACCCCAGTAAGTCCTCACAGTCCCCCGAGTAGCACACAAAGCTGTCTGTGTACCTCCTCCTCCAGGTCACAAGCTCCCTGGAGCAGGAAGAGGAGTGGGACAAGGCTGCTGGTCCCTGCAGCACCCAGAGATGAGGAGGACAGAGGGACCCAGGGGTGGCAAGCCTGGGAGCATATGCAGCCCGGACTCCCAGGGAGTGGGATGCCCCAGTCCAAGCAGCCTGGGAAGTCTCCTCCCTGGGACATTCCCAGTGACTCAATCCAAAACACCAAGGGACACATCTGAGATCCTATACCGGACCCACCCCTTAGGTCCAGGCCCCAGGCTAGGCACCACTCACAGAGAATTTGGGGCGGAAGATTCCTGAGAAGTGGCTCTTGATGATCTCCAGCGTGGGCGTCCTTCCCCCCTCTCGCTCCTGCTCCTGAGGCCAGGGACACACGTCAGCGGGTGGCCAGGCTTGGGGAGGGGGAGGGTGAAAATGAGGAGCTCGGCCCCTGCACTCATGGCTGGGGTGGACAGGGCTGCCGGGCAGGGGCGGTGGGCGCTCACCGAGGATGAGGTGGAGTGGCGGTCATCCTGCAGGAGCAGCACGGCTGGGGGCTCACCGGGGCCCAGCTGCTCCAGCTTGGTTTGCAGCAGCTCCTGCTGGGCCTGCAGCTTGGCCTGGCTGCACAGCGCAACCTGCAGCCCCTGCAGCGCCTCCTGCAGCGCCTGCCTCTTGCCCAGCAGCTGTACCCTGCAGGCCAGCGGGCGGCAGGCAGTGAGAGACCAGCCTCTGTCTGCAGCCATAGGGCAGGCCAGCAGGATGAGGGGCCAGGGAGGTGTGTGGGGGACCCACTCACCGCTCTCGGGGGTGGGTTTTCTGCTCCTCACTCCAGAGCTCTCTTTGCAGCTGGCTGACTGCCTCCTTCCGGCTCAGCACAGTCTCGGTGGCCACCGCGAGGTCATCTGTCACCGAGGTCAGCCTGGAGCCAAGGCAGAGCTTTGTTAGTCCTGTAGCCCCCAAAGGTGTTCTGCAGAATCAAGCAGGCTGAGTGCCTGTCAAGGCTCAACACAGTAGAGCACACCCCCACCTGCCCACATGACACCCGTGGTCTGCAGGGAACCCCCGGGGCCCTTGCCAGGCTGCCACCCACGTGTGCTGCACGCTCTCGACGGTAAGCTCGTTCAGCTGCAGCTCCCCGGGCTCCAGCTGCTCACCCTCCTCAAGCAGTGACTCATCGAAGGTGACACAGGGTGGGACGTCAGGGGCAGAGCTGCAGGTGGACAGGGACCCCCTCAATGAAGAGACCAGCAGCCCCGGCTCAGCGGGTGTGAGGATGAATGCACTTACCCGTACTGTTGCAGGAAACCCTGGTACTCCGCCTCGGGCTGGATACGGGCCACAGCTGCAGCCATCTCCTGGTGAATGGCCACCACCTCGTCCTGCACCAGGCTGCTAATCTCCAGGTACTCCTGCAGGATCTCCTTCCTGTCCCCAGAGACAGGACCCCCAGTCAGGGGGCCTTGGGCTGGGGGAGGTGAGCAGCTTAGCCTGGGACACTGGGTTTGACCCTACGTCACCGCAGATGACAACCACATGATCTTGGGTAGAGTATTTGACTTCTCCCTACTTCCTGATTTGTCCCTTAGGCATGCTGGTGGTCCTATAAGGGTCCAGGGGGATCCTGTGCGCAGTGTCTGACACCCCAGAAATGCTCAGTGTACGTGAGCTGTAGTCCTTCCTAGCCTGGTGGTCAGCCTGAGCTGGGGCTCTGGGGCTCCCATAACTGTATTGCTGTACCCTGTCTGTACCCCCAGGGGCAGCAGTCCCAAGCTCCCCTGTGTTCTGGCCTCTCATACACATCCACCTACTCAAAATGCCTGTGGAACACAGATCGCTTAGACACCTGACTCTCCTAGCCAAAGGACACACTACTGCCCTGGCCGCTGAAATGTGCCCCTTCCACAGCTGTTTCAACATAAGCTAATGGCAACTCCATCTTCCAGATACTCCAGGAAGAATCCTGGGAGTGAGTCAGCCTTGCTTCTATGTCTCGGTCCACTTTGACTCCACAAGCAAATCCCTGGGCACTGCCTTCAAAACACACCCTGGGCCTGACTGCCTTTCACCTCTTTGCCGCACCCTGACCCAAGTGGCCACGGCCTGTGCCCTGGACCCCCACAAGAGCCTCCTTCCTGTCTGGCCTCTGCTTCTACCCTTGACCCCTGAAGTCAATTCTCAACACCATAGCCAGAGTGGCTTTTATTTTATTTATTTTTCAAGGTACTAGAGATCGAACCCAGGGCCTTTGCACTGCCCTAGCCCTTTTTTTATTTCCTATTTTGAGAGCACATTTGGGGGGGGGGGGTACCGGGGATCGAACTTGGGACCTTGCACTTGCGAGGCAGGCGGTGGCACCATTGAGCTAAGTCCCCAGACCTTTATTTCCTATTTTGAGACACAATCTCTCTAAGTCACTAAGTTGCCCAGGCTGGGCTTGAACTTGCGATCCTCCTGCCTTGGCCTATCTCAGTGTGGGATTATAAGCATGTACCACTACCTCCTGCAGAGTGGCCTTACTAAAACAGAGGTCAGATCATGTCACTTTTGTGTACCCAGAGCCAGTCCTCATGGAGGTCTGTTGGACCCCCTGTCACCCAGCAGCCCCCAACTCAACTCCTCCAGCCCGGGCCTGACTCTCCCTGCCCTCGCTCTGCACCCTGCTGAGCCTCCTGGCTCCTGGTGCCTCCCGGATGTTCTCCCTATACACCTGTCTCCTTGCTGTCCCAGTCTGGAGTGTCTTTCTCCACACAGCACCGTGGTCCACTCCCACACCTCCCTCGTCTTTTTCTGAAAGTCACCTTTTCAAAGAAGTATTATTTAAAACTTAACTCCTGCCCAGTCCCTCAGCCCTCCCAATCCCCTACACTAGACTTTTCTCCATCGCACTTTTTTTGGACCTGCTTCGAGTGTGTGTGTGTGTGTGTGCACGCACACATGCATGCAGTGCTGGGGATGGAGCCCAGAGCCTCGCACATGCTCAGCAAGTGCTCTACTACTGAGCCCATTTGCAGTCTTTTCTTACTTTGAGACAGGGTTTTGCTAAATTACCCAGGCTGGACTTAAACTTTCAACCTCCTGCCTCGGCCTCTGGAGAAGCTGGTATGACAGGCATGTATCACCGTGCCCAGTTAATGCTTCCTAGTTCACTTTTTTTCTTTTCTCCTTCCACTAGCGTAGAAAATCACTGAAAACAGATGTTTTTGCCTGCATTCTTCTCTGCTATGTCCTAGAGCCTAGCACGATGCTGAATGAATGGTATAGAACCCTCTGACACTGGGGGTAGTAACCCACACCTGTAATCTCAACTACTCAGGAGGCAGGGTCAGGAGGATTGTAAATTTGAGCCCAGCCTGGGTAATTTATTGAGATCTTGTCTCAAAATAAAATTTTAAAAGGGCAAGGGGTATAGCTCAATGCATTCTTGGGTTTAATCCCCAGTACTATAAACAACTCCCCCCCAAACACCCTGGGATAAGGGACCCTGGCACACTAATTTGAGTGTAAGTAGGGTTCAGGTCCTCAGCCTGGGACCCATTTCCCTGTGACCACGTGGCCACCACTCTGCCCCAACTGAAAGTTCTGGGACAGGGTGGGGGGTGCTCACAGCACGTGCGCCATCTCCTCGTGCAGGTCCTGCAGGGACTGCAGCATGCTGGGCAGCATAAGCTGGTGGTGGTGCTGGTGGTGCAGCTGTGCGGCCCGCACACCCAGCACATAGCGGTTGTGGTGGGCAAACAGCTTCCACAGGCTGCGCACGTACTTGTCCTTGGCTTTGTCCCGGTCCTTGTCTGCTGGTGGGGAGGGGAGGGCGAGGTGTGGATGTCAGCACTGTGGACAGCTCAGCAGTGTTTGAGGTCCCCTCCCTGCTGGTGAGGGAAGCCACAGACCTTTGCTGGCCTCCTGGTACTTGCGCCTGGCTTGGGCGCTGTCCCGGGCCAGGGCTCGGTATTGGCTCTTCAGCTTCTCGATGTCCTGGCTGTGGGTCTGAGGGGACAGGGGTGGCCAGTGTGGGGAGGTAGGTCCCCAAGCATGAGAGATTCCTCCTCCATGTGAAGGTTAGGGTCAAGCTGGATGCGGCGGCACATGCCTGTAATGCTACCACTCTGGGAGGCTGAGGCAGGAGGATCACAAGTTCAACCCCACTCTGGGCAACTTAGTGACATAGTAGCAATGCCCTGTCTCAAAATAAGAAATAAAAAAGTGATTGGGGCCGGCGATTTAGCTCAGTGGTTTTGCTGCCTGCTGCGCAAGCGCAAGGACCGGAGTTCGATCCCCGGTACCAAAAATCAAAACAAACAAACAATGAACCCTCTTTTGGGCTGGGGATTTAGCTCAGTGGTTTTGCTGCCTGCTGCGCAAGTGCAAGGACCTGAGTTCGATCCCCGGTACCAAAAAAAAAAAAAAAGTACTTGGGGGGCCAGGGATGTAGCTCAGTGGTGCCGCTGCCTGCCTTGTAAACACAAGGTCCTGAGTTCCATCCCTGGTACCAAAAAAAAAAAAAAAAGTGATTGGGGATGGAGCTCAGAGAAAAGGCTCTGACAGAGTTACAGACAGGCCACTGGGGGCGGCAGAGAGCTGGTTAGGTCAGGTGGGGCTGCTTCAGGTGTGTGGCCTTAGTGGCTACTCAGGGCTCCAACGAAGGATCCTGTGCTTGTTTTGCATGCTCTCTTGTCGCCATGGTGAAATTACTTTCTTAACAAAGGGGCCCACATTTTCCTTTTGCACTCAGCCCTGCTCCAGAGGCACCCAAATCATGTTCTTGGCAACAGGAACAAGAGACGGCAGCCCGAGACCAGCATTCTCATTCTTGTTTTCCTGTTTAGGTGCAGGGATACATTGACAAGCTCTATCCCACTTCTCAGAACCTCAGTTTCCCCATCTGTAACTGAGCTAAAGGCATAGACTAGACCAATCTTTTTCTTTCTGGGTATTAGAGATTGAACCCAGGGCTTTCTCAGTGAGCTACATCCCCTGCCCTTTTTATTTTTCATTTTGAGTCTTGCTAAGTTGCCTAAATGGGATTCAAATTTGTGATCCTCCTGCCTCAGCCACCCAGAGTGCTGGGATCACAGATGTGGACCACCAGACCTGACTCCAATCTCCTTAAAAGGACAAATAGTAAATATTTTAGGCGTCTGGGCCTCAGGGTCTCTGTTCCAATTACTCACTTCTGTCTCTGTAGCTCTACAGTAGCCACAGTGGAGATGAAAACTATCAGGAATGGCTGTGTTCCCCTCAAACTACAGAAATAGGCAAAGCCCTGAAGTAGGTATCTTTGGGAGGAGGTGTGGTGTCCCGGCTGGCCACCAGGGGCCGCTGTGGGTGCATGGCGAGGCCTGTGGGCTTGGTAGAAGGGAGGTGGTCCCTGGCGGCCAAGGGACTGGAACACCCAGAGGAGTAACCGCTCCAAATCACACTGCCTAAAACTGAGGACCTGGGGAATTCAGACCCCGACTTTGCCCTCGGGGGTCATGCTGCTGTCTGCAGAACCCGAGTCTTCTCCTGGGCAGCTGGGTCTCATTCATTTTTGTGTTCCCAGCACCCGCCAGGGCCAATGCTGGGACAAGGCGGGCTGCAGACCACCCCGAGGGTGGTGGGTGAAGAGGGAGGAAGTGGCTGCGGGGCTGGGCCGGCTGTCCTGAGGCCTGACCCACCAGGAACTTGCACTTCCCCAGTGAACACCAGGGTTCTTGCGCAAAGCCACCCCTCCAAGGCTGCGCTGGTGACAGAGACCACTGAAGCCCCCTAGATGATACCCACCTTGGTAAGCTCCTGCTGCAGCTGCTGCCACTGCTCACTGTAGGTCTTGCGCAGCTGCTGCCGCTCCCGGATCAGCAGGCTCAGCTTGCTCAGTGGCCCTGAGTTCAGGTCCTCTGCGTGCTGCCGCAACACTCGGCTCAGCCCTTCGGTCTGGCTGGTGATCTCAGCCCAGGACTGTGGAGTAGGGAGGCAGGGAGAAGGGGGGGGTGGCTCCTGAGCGGGCTAGATCTCCAGGGGGCTCAGGAAGGGAGAAGGCAGGAGGAGCCAGCTCTTGTGGGAGCTCACCTGGCTGAGCTCACCTGGTTGACGGAACTGTCCAGGCCACCACTCCGGCTCTGGCCCCCAGCATCCTGCAGGGACATGTGATGGAGCAGCCCTGCATATTCCCGGTCGCTCTTGACCCGCTGGGCCATCCACTTCCTCATGCCCTCCAGCAGGCGAAGCTCAGCTTCCTGCATCTGCTGCACTGCCCCGTGGCCTTGGGGGCTGCACAGCTCCGAAGAGAAGCCCATGGTGGCGTCCTGGAGACAGAGAAGAGGCTATCACTGGGTAAGGCAGCAGCTGCAGATGGAGGGGTACAACAAAGTGGGTTGGGGACTGCAGGGGGTTACTGGAGACTGCAAGAGATGACTGGGGTCCTGCCCAGCAGAAACAGCCTGGCCTGGGGCTGGCCCTTGCTGCTTCCTGGACCCTAGGCCAAGGCCTATGCCAGAGGTTCCCTTTGCAGTCCTAGAACAGGAACCAGCCTGGAGCCTCCCTCCTGGGCTCCTTGCACCCAGCACTACTACAGGGCCCTGTGCTAGGCTGGGCCTGCCCAGGCTGGAGGCTCCCTGGCCACAGCCACAGACCTGCTACCGGTGCTGTCCTGCCCTCTGTAGCCCGAACCCTTCCCGGCTTTCAGCCCCTGGAACCCCACCTTGCAATGCCTCCTGGGGCCCTGGGCTGGAGTTACCCTCGCAGGCAGCTGCTCCTGCTCCTGGGCAGCTGTGGATGACTTAGGCCCACACGGACCCGGCCAGTTCCTGGTTCGGCGCTTCCTCCTCTCGCGGTTTCAGTTGGCCCAGGCCAGGGCGGGCCGCAGAGGGGAAGGGGCGGGTGAGCCCGGCCGGCCCCTCTGCCCCATGCTGGGCCACAGCAGCCTCCCTCGGAAACGGAAGGGAGGAGGAGGCTGGGGAAGAATGGCCAAGGGAGCAGAGGCCTGCAGCCCGACACTCACTCCCCAAGGCCAGTGAGTCCTGGGACCCTTCGGAAGGGGCCTGAGGCAGGAGGGGTGGGTGCAGGGGCCTGGCTCACTGTAGCCAGCTTGTAGGAAGGCTGAGAACAGCTGGGACTCAGGGTGGCCAGGCGCCCAGAAGAGGAAGGGGGAAGCTAGTCCCAGCCCTCCCCACCCCCCTGGAGTCCCCAAGGAGAGCTCAGGCGCCAGCTCCATTTGAATAAAATTTCCAAGTAAATATCCCGAGGAGAAGCCTGCTTCTCAGGCACCGGCACCACCCTCTCCACCCAGGCTGGAGCTTTCAGTCCCTAGGGGAACCTGGGGCTGCCAGGGGGTAGCTGGGGAGTGCAGAGGTGTGCAGTTTCCCAGGTGGGACTCAGGCTCCCCTGGCATGAGTCACCTTGGCCCTTGGCCCTATAGTTGGAGCCCGGTCACCTCAGCCCAGGAAGAGGCCAGTAACTGAGGCACAGGCCACTCACTCTGCACCCTGGTCAGCTCCTGAAGCCGAGTTGCTCTCCCTATACCCAGGGCTTCTGTCCTCTTCACATGGGGGCTGGCCTTCTGCCTCAGGCCTACCTAAGGACCAGGACAGTGTCTCCTTGTCCTGGGGATGGGGTAACAATATCACCACACTGGAGACTGAGCCTGGTTTGCATAGTCTGCACATTTAATCACTTAAAAACCTCTAACATTATCTCGTGTCCATTAAATAGAACCAACAATGCTGGGCCTGTTTAAATTACAAGGAAAAAAAATCACTGTGCACCAACCCAGTATCTTACAAAAACAGCTAGGGTGGCCACAAAAGGGGTATGGGAGAGGAGGGGGCACCCCTGGGCAGGTGGCTGGGGACCCCCAAGGAGTAGAGGAAAGAAAAAGGTGCTCCTGGGGGAGGGGACTGATTGTCCTAATGGGAGGGGTGCAAAAGGCACGTCAGAAGACGGGTTTGGGGGGCATAGCAGGTCAGAGCTTTCTCCGTCAGGGCACAGTGTTGGAGGGGGCTTGGTGCCACCCCTGGACTTGGAGAGTCAGTGACCCACAAGCCCTTGCCACAAGCCCCGTTTGAAACACAGATGTCTGCCTGCCCATCCTGTGGTGACCCCCTTTCCTAGAGCCCACCCAGCTGGCCTGCCCCTTCAGGACTTGGGGCTCAGCTACTCCTCACTCCTCGGCAACACACTGCAGCCTCCTCCGCCTCGGGGCTGGGCAGCCAGGGGAGAGCAGCATAGGCAGTGGGGTGAGAGGGTGTGTGGTCCAGCTGCTACCCCATTACAAATACAAAAAAAAAAAAAAAATCATCAGCATCTCAAGTGAAATCATCACAAAGTGAAAATATATCCTCAAACAGCTCCTGAGATCCCCACAGGGGAAAGCAGCATCGGGTGGGAGGTGGGAGAGGCCAGCTAGGCCATTGTCCCTCCCACCACCCACCCAGGGGCTCTGGGACTGTGCCAACAGCCCAAGCGGCCCGGGGCTCAGAAAACAGGGGCTTGGGCCCTGGTGGGAGGACAGGGTGGTTGGGATACCATCTCGGGCCTGCCCAGCTCGGCCTGGTCCAGTGGAGGCCAGGGCACAGAGGCAGACAGAGGGATGGGATGCCACCCGTGCACACCTGGAAGCACCTGTCTGCCTTGGTCCCTTCCTGTGATCGCCACTTCTGCTGAGGGTCACCCAGAGGTGTGGAACAGGGTTGGGGACGCAAAGCCCTTGGAGAAGTGGCCACCTCCTACAAATCCCTCCTAGGCCAGCCTCCCTGCTGCCTGGATGGGGACTGTTATTGCTTTAGAGGGACAGAAAAGGGCAGGAATTGCAACCGGGCACAGGACCCAAAGAAGGGCTGCCCCCTCCCTCTGCAGGAACTCTGCAGGCCTAGGCCTCACCCTCAGCCTCAGCCAGCTGCCTCCCAGGTGTGGCTCCATCCTCCCATGAGGATGAGGGCTGAGGAGAGGCCCTCCAGCCCCCCCCAGCTAACTGGGCCCCAGCTCAGCAGCCAGGTGGGCTCAAAGGTGGGTAGGAAGCAGTCTCTGCCCCTCTTGCCTCCCAGTTGGGGTCCAAGCCCAGTCCCAAGATAAAAAAATACTTTGGTGAATTAAAAAGTGCCCAAGGAGGGAATGGGCTTGAGGAGGGTGGCGGCGGGCTCATCAAAGGGCGCTCTGGTCTTTGATAAAGGCGGTCCTCTCGCCCCGGCCCTCGTCCTCCTCTGAGTCAGACGGACACTCCTCCTGCCAGGCCTCGGGGGGCAGCCCCTTGTAGGAGATGAGGCCTCGGTCCATGGTGTACACCTTCACCCCCCGGAAGCTGAAGCCTGAGCGCAGCTGCAGGACCAGGAAGACAGTGACAAAGACCAGCACGATGAAGGCGCAGCTGAGGCCGGCTACCACCTCAGGCAGGTGGGAGGGCAGCAGCCGTGGCTCAGCCTCCACCTCTGGGGTCAGCCCCGGGGGCGGTGGTGGCTGCTCCGGCGGAGACTCTCTGCTGCTCTGGCTCTGTCGGGAGCAAGTCTGCTCCACAGGGTCCAGAGAGGCATGGCTGGGGCAACTGAGGCAGTCTGTGGGGGCTGGGCCCTGGCACGTGGCACAGGAGGCGTGGCAGGGAGCACAGACGCTGGCCCGGATGGTCTCAACGTCATTCTCGGTGCTGTAGTGGGTATCGAGGACTTGGGGTGTGAAGCCTGGTGGGCAGTGCTGGATGCAGGTTTTCTGGTGCAGGGAGAAGCCTTCTTCACACACTGGCAGCATGGGAGAAAAGGGACGGTGTCAGCCAAGTGGGCCATGGCTGGGGCACCACACGAGCCCTCAGCTTATGTCTATGCCACCCCACTCCCAGGAGTCCCTGGGTCGGTCTCTCCTTCCCTCCCTCTCTCCCTCTCCCTTTCTCTTTTTTGTGGTCCTAGGGATTGAATGCAGGGGCTCTGCACTGAGCTACATCCCCAGCCCTTATTTCGAAACAAAGTCTTGCTAAATTGCACAGGCTGGGCTCAAACTTGAGGTCCTCCTCCTCCAGCCTCCCAGAGGGCTGGGATTACAGGCCTGCACCACAATGCCTGGTAAGTCCCAAGGTCCCTTGAGACCCTCTTCCTCCTATAGCTGGGTGTTTTGTTTTTTTTTTTGGTACCGGGGATCGAACTCAGGACCTTGTGCTTATGAGGCAGGCAGCAGAACCACTGAGCCAAATCCCTGGCCCAGCTGGGCTTTAATATTGTTCCCTGGCCCTGCCCCCCCATCCCCCATAACTGACCCACGCAGGCCTGGCTGGATGTGAGGGTCTTGCAGCCACTGCTCTCCGGAGGTGTAGGGAGCCCCTCGGGGGCTGTGCCGTATAGTATGAGAGTGAACTTGGTCAGCGTCCCTGTCCCAGATTGGAGGCGGGGGGAGGAGTCAGGAGGTGCTGGCACCACCACACACAGCATCCCAGACCCCTCCAACCCACCTCCGCACCCCCTGCCCCCAATTCCCCCAGTACCATAGTTGTTGGCCTCGCTGGTGTTTTCAATCTCCAGGACCCATTCGCCAGACGGGTCCTCATCCCAAGAATGGGTTGTCATGAAGGCCCAGTCATTAAACCCATCTGCAGAGTAGTCATGTGGCCTAGGGGAGGGGATGCATATAGCCATCTGTGGCCTGGGGGGCCCTCAGGGTAGGGACACCCAACCCATGCCCATGGGCCATACAGTGTGCTCCCATGTGCACCAATCCTGCTGGATCGGAAATGTCTATTGGCCTGGCTGTTTCCTGGGCGGCCAAGTGGTCTTCACCAGGGGACTGTAAAGGTGTGATGCACCACACGGGAACACATGCTGCTGTTATTAAATAGGTAGAAGCCAGGGATTCCTGGGACATGATCTTATACAGGACAAAGCTGTCCCTTTCCAAGTGCCACCAGTGTCCCACTGAGTAGTACGATGGCTGTAGGGGTAGTATGGGTAACGACAAGATGAACAAGGGCTGCTAGGGAGCAGAGGAGGCAAGATAAGGCAGGCAGAGGACAGGGCCAGCACCTGGCAGCCAGAAGGGTAGAGCGGGTGCTCATAGGGCTGACCAGGTGGATGGCCAGGTCGCCACGGCGATTGTAGGACAGGGTGAGCCGCGCCTGAGCATGCTCCAGTCGGGTGATGTGGGTGGGCTCGCCCAGGCAGGCGGTCACTGTCTTGTGCACCTCCAGCCGCTTGCCAATGTCCCTGTGCAGAGAGTGCCGTGATGCTGAGTCCCTGGGCCTGGAGCAACGAGCACCACACCCACAGCTCTGAAGCCGCCCCTACCGCAGCAGGGTCCAGTCCTCACCTGGGCTCGGTGAGGATGTCGATGATGCACTTCCGCTGGGGGGCAACTGTGGTCCAGTTCTGGGCCAGGGTCACCATGGCACCTGCATCCAAGAGCCCATAGCCATATGAGTGGCTCACTGTGGGGACAGGGAAGGCAGGGTCACAGAAAGGAACAGAGTGGCCCACTGACCAACCCCCAAACCTGCTCCTAGGCCCCTGCCCTCACCTTTCCGGCCCACACCATTGGTGGCCCAATCATTGGCATTGAGGTGTGCTGGCTTTGAGGTCCGGACCACCAGGTGCTGCATGTCCCGCCAGGTGAGGTTCCTACTGCAGGGGAGGAGGAGACACAGGCGGGGCCTCAGGCTTTCTGGAGAGAAGCTGAATTTCCAAGGCCACCCTGCAGAAAGCACGGTGGGAACAGGACTTCCCACTTACTTGGCCTCCAGGGTGAGAGCAATGATGCCGGCTGCCAAGGGGGCAGAGGCTGAGGTGCCTGTATGAGACTCTGTGCACTTCTGTCGCAAGTCAGTGGTCACCTGCCGGGGGATAGAGGTATTGGGGCCTGTGATGAATGGAGGGGCCATCTGCCTGGCCTCCCTCTACCTAGTGCCTGGGAACCATAGGTGGCACAGTGAGCCAGGGTCAAAGCCACCCCAAACCTGGCAGCTGCCTTGCTAACTTGCCCTGGACAAATTGATGCATGTCCACTTCTAGGCCTCAGTTCTCTAAGGAATGAGGGGTTTCAGCTAGAGGATGGAGAGCACTGCACATTTTTAGGGAAAGTCTACACTTCTCAAGGGGTTCACACATGGCTCTGCAGCCCTCAGTCTTGGAACCCCCAGCTCCCATCCTATAGAGCCTGAGCCTAAATGGCCACATGGGAGGGGAAGAGACAGATGGGTATGAAAGGGGTCCCTGAGTATCGTGGGCAAGCAGTCCCCCTTCCCTGCCCCAGCAAGACTCACAATCTGCTTCTCATTCTGGTTGCCGCTGCTGTAGGTGGTGGCCAGCGTGGATGAGCAGGCCTCACTATACCAGGGCACGTTGCCAAACTGCGTGGCACTGCTAATGGACAGCGTGTAGATGCTGTTGGTGTAGCCATCACAGTTGCAGCTGTCGTGTTCCCGGCCCCCATTCCCTGACGCCCAGACAAAGATGGAGCCCAGCCCACCACGGCCCTGTGGACAAAGTACACTGGGGTCACTCAAGATAGGGACTAGGGGAGGCCCAGCAGGGAGATGGTGCTGGAGAGTCCATATTGACCTCGAACTTATGGTGATCCTCCTGCCTCAACCTCCTGTGTGCTGGGAACAGGCGAGTGCCACCACGCCTGGCATGTCTGTGTCCCTTTATTGATTTATTAATTTACTCTTTCTGGTGCTGGGGCTCAAATCCAGGGGCTCAAGCATACAAAGCATGCCCTCTACCACTAAGCTATATCCCCAGCTCCCAGCCCTCAGCCCTTGATGCTTTTTCACTTTTTTTACTCGGTGGCAGGGGTTGAGATAGTCTTTCTAGGTAGCTCAGCCTAGCTGTGAACTTACTATGTATTCCAGAATGGGCAGGATCGAAAGTTCCTGCCTCGCCTCAGCTTCTTGAATGGTGGGATTACAGCCATGCACCAAGGTGCCTGGCTCCATAATGCTTTAATAAACATGCTCTGAGGCCAGCCATGGTGGTACACACCTGTAATCCCAGCATTCTGAGAACCTGAGGGAGGAGAATCCCAAGTTCAAATTCACCCTGGGCAATGCAGTAAGAGCCTATTTCAAGATTTTTTAAAAAAGGGCTGGGGATCTTGCTCAGTGAGAAGGCCTTGACTTCAATCCCCTGTATTCAAAATGAAACATACCCTACATAAAGTTAAGATTAAACACAAAAATAAACAAAACAGAAAAATACAACAGCGCTAGGGAAAAGACTGCTGGGAGCCCCTAGAGAGCAGGCCTGGCCACAGGGCTGGGCCAGGCTCCCTCACCTGGCTAACCCCTCGGAAAAAGGCCTCCTCAGCCAGGCGGGCTGGCCCATCCACTGTCTTGCCATCATCCTCAGGACCCCAGCTGGCACTGTAGATGTGGATGTGGTTGGGGTTGAGACCCAGTGAGCGTGCCTCCACCGCGTCGGTCACCTCGCCATCCAGCATGCGCACCCCTGGCCGAGAGGGGGGCAGAAAGAGGGGTGCTATGTGGGTCCAGCTGCCAGGGGTACCCTTAAGGCATGCCCAGCCCTCCCCACTAGAAATCCCTGAGCCCTAACATCTGCTTCTGCCTTTGCAGCCAAGAGCCAAAGGGTTCCTCCCAGCTTCTACTCCAGCCACCCAGGCTAGACTGGAAGAATATCAGGTCCAGGGGTCAGGGGAATGAAGGCCTGCCTACAGAGACTCCGTGGGGTGTGAACATTTAGGAGACTTCCACTAAGAGACATTCACCCCCCGCCTGCAGCACCAGCAGCCCTGGGAGGCCAGCTCTCTGAATCACTCCGAACCCCGATGGAATATCCACATGGTCAGAAGGATTCACAGTGGGAAGGTGACAGTCACTGGCCAGATGGGAAGCAGGCAGGCAGAAATCCCACGGGAAGTCCCTCCCACCTCCACCGTGGGATAGAGGGGCCAAGGGCAACACTCACCTCCAATGTGGGCATTGTAGGCCACACCCACACCACAGACACCATTGTTGGCCACAGCGGCCACTTCGCCTGCGCACCGTGTGCCATGCCTGCCAGGACCAGGAGCACAGCATTAGTGGCATGGACAAGTGCACCAGACACGGCCGAAGGAGCAGGAAGGATCATCACACCCCTCTCTATCCATGCCCACCCCCTACTCCACTGGACAGGTTCACCTCCCTCAGAGTCCCAGCTAGACCAGGACTGTGGACAAAGGTGTGAGCCTCCTGGGTGGGGGCATGTGGCACCCAGGTTCAACCCTGAGTTCTTGGCGGGAGAGAAGAGGAGGGAAGCAGAGGTCTGGGGATTGCCGCTCTTACCTGTTGTCATTCATCTGTGTGTACCGAGGCTGGGGGTCTGGGTCTTGGTCATTGACATCAAAACTGGCCCCAGGATCCTGGAAAGGACATGGCTGTTGTCAGGAGCATCCTGCTTGCACTGGGAGAACAGTATGCCCCTAGCCGCCCCTCACCCGGGATTGCTGTCTCCCTCCTGGCTCCTCACATAGTTGCCTGCCAAGTCTGGGTGGTTCTTCTCGATGCCGTCATCCAGGATGGAGACCACAATGCCACGCCCTGTATAGCCCTGAGCCCAGGCTTCCTTCACATTCAGGTCCCGCTGATTGACACCAGACTGCAGAGACACCACCTCGTCACTTAGAAGATGTGTTTGACTGGGTGAGTATAGGGCTAACTTGAAGAATCCTCTCACCACCAGAAATCCCTTTCTGCACCCATCCTGGCTCTTCAAGTGCCAATGTTGGTTTTGTGGCCTCCCAGGAAATGCAGAGCTTGGGGGGTACCCCCCAAGGCTTGTCAAGAGGGGTGTAGGAGGAGGTAGGGAGATAGCCCTCAGGACAGCAAAGAAGCCTTACAGTCAGCCCAACACCCACAGGAGCTCACAGAACACCAGGGCCCCAGGCATACCAGGTACCACTGCTGGGGAAACTTGGGGTCTGTGGGCTCCTGGTACACATCCCGTTTGGTTCGTCGCTTTGCCACCTGCTGCTCTAGCCACTGTACCTGGGAGGGAGTAAAGGAGGTGGTGTAGGTAGGGGATGGGGAAGCAAGAGGGGATCCTGGGAACAGGAAGAGGAGGGGGCAGTGGAGTGGGAGGGGCAGATCCAGACTCACTTGAGGCTCCCTCTGCAGACGGCTGTGCCGAGGGCGGTGAGGTGACAGGGACCGCTTTGTCACTGCTCTATGCCGGAAGTGGTAATAGTCGCCGAAGATCTAAAGTGAAGCAGGGAGACTGAGATGGGCCTTCCATCTGTTAGTCCCTGGGAGGCAGCAATGGGGGTGGACAGTGGCTGCAAGGGGAGGCTTGCAATGGCAGAGGGTGGGGGGCATCTGTGCCCTGCCCAGGACTCAGCATGAACACACAAGGGACCAAGGGGCCTTGCCCTCACTGGGACAGGCTGATCATCTAACAAGCCATGCTTCCATCGCACTGGCCATCCAGGATGTGCCTGCTACCAGATGATGGAAAAAGCCAACCCCAACTTTTCCTGCTCCTTGGTGCCAGGATCCTTTCCCTCCCAGGGTTCCCTCCTCGGCAACATCCCCTGCCTGGGCCATCAGGCCACCTACCTGGCCCAGGTTGTGGAACCCATGCTTTCGGGCCACGCTATCAGCCACAGCCAGGCCTCCAGGGATGTGGACAGCCCACGTGTTGGTGAAGATCTTCTGGCCATGGGCATCAGCGGCCAGCAGGACCAAGGTTCCTGCTGCTGCTACCACCCATAGCAACCAGGGCCTCAGCTCCATGGGGGGCAGGTGGCCAACCGTGGAACTCCTCCCTCCTTGGCCTGGTCACAGGGCCTTGGCTCTTGAGTGCCTGCTGCTCACTGCCTGTGGCCCAGGGCTGACTGGTGGGGGCATGGGGCTGAGATGGGCAGGGCTAGCAGGAAGGATGAAGGCTGCCGGCTCTGGGAGGAACAAGGGGAGAAAGGGGAGCCAGTCAGTCCTTCTGAAGCCGTGTACTAAGGCTGCCCTTCCTAACCGGACAACTCGAGTGCAAAAGGAGATCTGGGAAGAGGGGTAAAACAAGACCAATCCTGGGCCGGGGATTTAGCTCAGTGGTTCTGCCGCCTGCCTCGCAAGCGTAAGGTCCGGAGTTCAATCCCCGGTACCAAAAAAAAAAAAAAAAGAAAGAAAGCTCAGTGGTTCCGGCGCCTGCCTTGCAAGCACAAGTTTCCAAGTTCAATCCCTGGTACCAAAAAAAAACCCCAAAATAAGACCAGTTCTCCCCAGGAGGAATCCAGGCCTCCAAGGGCAGCCAGACAGATGGACAGACACATGACCCCCACACACCTCCCAAGGCTGTCTCCACCAAGAACACAACTGTAATCCAGAAGGGGGCTGAAGAGTATCAAAGGCTTCAGTCACTCAAAATCAGAAATAAAAGATCTTGCCAAAATAAAAGTTAGAAAGATGCATTTTATATATATATATACACATATATATATATGTATATATATATATATATATTTTTGGTACCGGGGTCAAACTCAGGTCCTTGCGATTGCGCAGCAGGCAGCGAAACCACTGAGCTAAATCCCCAGCCCAAAGATGCATTATATTATAAAGCAGTATGTACACATGATCCCATTTAAAAAAAAACTATTTATACATGAATATTTATACATAATCAAAAACAAAATCTGGAACGACACACGCTAAAACGTTAACAATGGCTCTTTCAAGATGCTGAGCATTACAAGTAATTGTTATTTTCTTTGTGTCATTGTACGCTTTGTACAATACCTAGGTATATTTTATATAGGAATAAAAAAACTGGCTTTTTAAAGTTTTTAAATGAACTCACTAGATTTCCTGGTTCAGTAAAAGAGACTCGGCCATAAGGAGTTATCTGCAAAGCCTCACAGCCAGGAAAACAGTGGGCAACCTGAGTCAGGGTAGGGTTTGGGAGACAGTGATCAGAGAGCAGGGGACCCCTTCAGGGTTGAGATGGCAGCCATGGGCACAACTGGAGCCTCAGGCTCCTTTTGGTGTTTCCTGGGGAACATGGGCTGCCCAGCCCTGCCCGAGATCCCCTACATGCCCCTTGCTTGCTCCGCGCCCACCACCTTGCATAACTGGAGCCCACAGCCAGGGCAAACACCGGCTGCTGAGCTAGGAGCACCAAGGTGAGGCTGAATCAATAGTCCTCGTGTTGTTTTTCCTCCTTCAGCAAACAGACAGTGGGACCTCTCTGCCTGGGGCCATATAACTGTCCCCACACAGGGCCTCTGAGTAGCCAGAAGTCAAGCCTCTGGGGTAGGCAGCAGCTGGGAAGTCCCTCCCAGTTCCAAGCTCCTTGAGTCTATCTGTGCCTGCCCAAAGGGCCTAGATGCCCCTACGGTTCCCACAGCCCAGCCTCAAAAGGGCCCCCTCTGCAGACAGTGCAGTGAAGGTGCCCCAGCTCACGGTGGTCCTGGGGAGCCAGGTGGGCAGGCTTACTTGTCCAGGAACAACCCTGGACATAACCACCTCCCTGGCTGCTGCAGGCCCACACTGCAGGCTAGGGGACTCCACACACCCTTCCTGGAGTATTTTCAGTTTACACCAAAATAACCTGACAGCTGATGGCAGGAGACAACCACCAGGCAGCTCCTCCACACCCTTGATGGGCAGCCGTGCAGGGTTCCAGGGCAGGCAAGGGTCAGCAGGTCCGAGAGCCACAGCCCCAGGATGCCTAAGGCAGATACCGCTGGCCTGAGCAATGGCTGGGCGGCCTGATGCCCAAGCCCTAGGGGACAAGAGGACCCCAAACCCCTGTCTAAAGCATGTAAGGTCCAGGACCTCTTCTCCCCTTATTGCCATGTAGCTGCCTCAGGGGTCCAGATGTCAAGCAGAGATCCCTGACCACAGTGCTGTAGCCCCACTGTGGGTCCAGTCAAGGCTGGGATCGCCTGGGTCTGGCCCAGGTTTCAGCACACGGTAGAGGGAGCCGAAGCTGTTTGTCTTTAAAGGTGATTAACCAACTATTTAATTACCTTGCAGCACCTGGAAAGAAAGCCAGCTTCAGGCACAACTGAACAATCTCCCAAGAAAGAAGGCCTGCCTGCCTCTACTCAGTGTACCCCACCATAGGGAGGGGTGGTTGTGGCTTCCAGAGTCCTGGACACCCCACCACCACCACCACCCAGCTTTGCCTTAGCATCCAGGACAGAGGGAGGACCCCCACATACACACAAAGCAAGAGCTGAGAACAATGAATGAATGGACTCCTCCCCACCCCCACCCCAGACTCTGACTCACCCTCTGAGTCCCCTAGTCTAAAGCCGGAGACTGGCTGCATTTCCAGCCTCACCATCGGTCTCACAAGGGACTCAGCTCCACAATGGACCACAAAGCTCTGGGGAGCTCTTCAGGGCTGCATTCCTGGGCAAAGCCCTTTTTCTTGAGTTCCAGAACCTCCTGACAGCCATCTATCCCCAGGGACCTACCCCAAATTGCACCTACCCAGGCTGGACCACGGTTTCCAGGGCACTGGAGGTCTGGCTAGAACACAGCCACTCAGCAAGCCCCCATAGGCCACTGGGAAGCCCAGTCTGGTCTCTCCAACAGTAACCCTCAGCCAAGCCCAGCTAGAGGCACCAGGCAGCTCCTTTGAAATTCTGACTCCTAATTCCTGCTCGAGTTCTATTTACTGTGTGATCTTGAACAAGTCACTTCCTCTTCCTGGGCCTCAGTTTCCTTGGTGGTAAAAATTGTTAGACCAGTGGTTTTCAAACTTTTTTGTAAAGCCACATAATTCTCTTAACACACACACACACACACACACACACACACACACGAATTCTACTACGTGGAAGCCCAATTTAGGAAATACTGTAGTTAAAACCAGGGCTCTCTAGCTTGAGATGGGCCAGGCCTGGCTACACTCTTATGCTGCCGAGTCCACACCTGGCCAGCAGCTGCCTGGCCCTCACTAGGCCACATCACCTGGGTTCCCTTCATACTTTCCATGCCAAGGAACCCCAGGCACTCTCAGATACATAGGGGTCTGTCCCCCAGCGGCATGGTGTGGGGGGGGGGGCTGGGAAAGTAGGTGCCATCTGGCCAGCAGGCGGCCCCTGATCCGGCAGCCCGCGCCAGGCCTCGGGGATCCACCTGGGCCCGCGCTCGCCCGCAGCCCGCACCTGGGCGCTCTCCCCGCACAGGTGTGCAACAGGGTCGCGGAGGTAGGGAGGGACTGTCTCGCCTCCCCTCACCGGCGACGCGGCCCGAGGCTTCGCGCCCCATCCCACCCGGCCAGGCCCTGCAGGCGCTTCCCGATGTCAGAGGGCCGGCTGGGCCGTGGACGGAAAAGTGCGGACGAGGGCTGGCCGGGCGCGCTCAGGTGGGCTCCGCGCTTCCTGCTCCGCGCGGCGCCACCCGCGCCCGGGCCGGCCCGGCTCCGAGTCAGGAGCGCAGCCCCGTCCGCCGCCCGCGTCCCCAGGCCGCGTCCCCGCGCCCCGGTCCGGCGCCCCGCGCCCTCGCCGCTTACCCTGGGAGCCACGGTGGGGAAAGTTTCCCGGGCGGGCGCCCCCGGCCGAGCGCGGAGCCCCGCGGCGGGGCCTGGGCTCGGCGCGC